AAATAATATGCATATCAAATTGATGGTTCCTGGATATTTGATTTCGATTATGTCTTGTAATATATTGTAGAAGTCAGTTTCACCTTTGACATGGATTCCATAATTGGCGGTTGACCTCTTTGATCCATGTTTATATGTATGAAATATGTATCCACGGGTAAAGTACATAGGAGCATAAACGATTCTTGCTATAGGGTTCCTTTACAAGTTCATACAACCATAGTGGAGAAGGCTCAGTTGAACAATGCTTAACCTGGAAAAATTAATTAACACATTAGTGTAATTAAAACACACATATATATATATATGTCGATCTTACGTACAAAGTATCTAATCTACCAAGCAAAATCACGTTTGTTCAAGTTCTCGTACTCTTTTTCTTCTAAGCCATGATAGTGTTCTCGAACTTGAGAGTCGAATAACCTAAATTGTACTCACGAGTCAGTTCGAGTAAATGGTAATATTATATAAAGAATGTACTTATTAAGTTATTAACTTATACCTCTCAAATGGCTGTATATACTCACAGTTCCACAATATGTAATTGGAAGCCGCACGACAATGATCAATATCCTCCCACCAAACTTCCTTAACTTTTCCAGCAAGTCTGCCTATCTAGGCAAACATATCTGGCACGTCAAAATGATAAGTCGGTGCTTCTCCTCCATCATCATATTGCTTAGTGCTGGTCTTTTTTGTTCGCACCGTTGGACTGAAGTAGTTAAGGTGAATTAAGAAGTTTCCTCGGTCAAACTTCCAGCAACAATCAATCCCTCCACCTTTGCAAGATCTTTAGCCTTCCTTTTAAGATGTCCCATGAATCGCTCAAATGGGTACATCCATCGGAGTTGCACAGGCTCCCCGAGCGCTGCTTCATATGGTAGATGGATTGGGACATGTTCCATGACATCAAAAAATGAAGGAGGGAAAACTTTTTCTAGGTTATAAAGCAACACAGCGATATTCTCTTCTAGTTGAGCGATGCCCTCCTCAGTCAATGTTCGCGTGCATAAATCCCTAAAAAAAGCTCCAATGCCTACATGCAAGTACATGAAGATATATATATATATATAGTTAATAATTTAATGAAAGAGACATTAATCTTAATTACTTATAAAAGGAACATTATATAATTTTTTCTTATTTTACCTGAAATAGCTTCATGGTTTTGTTTTGGCAAGAGCTCGATTAATGCAAATGGTTGCAGTCGCTGCATGAATACATAGCAATCATGACTCTTTATGTCTGAAATTTTCTGGCCTTGCTCAACTCATCTTGAGAATTTGGACACATATCCATCTGGAAACTTAACATCAGAATCAACCCACTATAATAATGCCTGCTTTGCCTCTCCGGACAATCGAAAGTTTGGAATAGGTAATTTTCCTTCGCTTGTAATATGCAACTCAGGTCTTACACATAGTTCAGGCAAGTCCAACCTTGATTTCAAATTGTCTTTGCTCCTTCCCTTGACATTCAAGATTGTATTGGCAATGTTATCGAAATTCTTTTTCTCGATATGCATCACATCAAGATCGTATCGTAAGAGGAGATTCGGACAATACGGAAGCTCCCAAAATATACTTTTTGTGCCAATTATGAGATACAGTATATCCATCAGGCATGTTAGCTGGTGTGTGCCAATTTCCCCCTACTTTACACGTTTCCTAAGCACCATAGTGTTCAATTTGCTCATACAAATCATTGCCTGATGGATAAACGGGGGGAGGGATACGCATAACCTTGTTCCTCCTAAACAACCTCTTGTTGTTCTGGTATGTATGACTCAGAGGAATCTACGATGACAATCAAACCAACATGGCTTTCTTCCAGTCTTTAGTTGAAACGCATCTGACATATCCAGACAATATGGACAATATAATCTTCCATGCGTAGTCCACCTTGACAACATTCTATACGCTGGAAAGTCACTGATAGTTCACAATATCACTGCACACATGTTAAAATTCTGTTGCTGTGAGTTTTCAAATGTGCGAACACCTGAATGCCATAACTGTTTCAACTCATGAATCAGAGGCTGTAAGAATACATCAAGTGCGCGCTTTGGATGCTTGAGACCAGGAACTAGAATACTCATGAACAAAAATTCTCTTTGCATGCACATATCCGGAGGAAGATTGTATGGTGTCAAGATGACAGACCATAGAGAATATTGTCTCCCAGACATACCAAATAGAGTAAATCCATCAGTAACATAAACCAAGATAGACATTCCTAACCTCACTAGCAAAGTCTGAATATACCGTCTGAAAGTGCTTTCACGCATTTGCTTCTGAAGGATGTGTAACCTCTCCATCCTCTATGGAATGTTCTGCATGCCATCTCATTGTCGATGCCGTCCTTTCTGAGTGGTATAACCGCTTTAATCTTTCAGTGATTGGCAGGTACCACATACGTTGGTATTGAACCCGAGTTCTTCCAATAGTTTTTTGATATCTCGGCTTCCCACAAAATCGACATTCCTGCAGCTTGTCATCGTCTTTCCAGAATATCATGCAATTGTCAATGCCTACATCAATCATTTCTGATGGTAAGCCAAGACCCGCAACCAACCTCTGTATTTCATAATAATTCTTAGCAGAAAGATTATCAGCCGATAGGTACTCTTTGAAAAGTTCAACCCACAAATCCATGCAAACCTCAGAGAGATTATTATCAGTTTTAATTATCATCATCCTAGATGACAATGACAGTTTAGACTGCCCTTCTCTACATCCATCGTAGATAGGCTGATTAGCAGCATCTAACATATCATAAAACCTTTTTGCATCTATGTTGGGTTCTTCCCTAATATTATCAACAAATGAGGTTGCTGGAGCTTCATGCATTGCATCTACAACCATATCATGAAACCTATTCCCTTATTGATACTCTTGATCTACATTTCTAAACATATTATGCCCATAATGTTCATAATTAGCATTATAATTGCGCTGTTCTAAATCCTGACCCATACTACTACTTCTGCCTGTAGCAACACTACTATCTTCTCCATGTAAAAACCATACGTAATAGTTCGGCATAAATCCTTTATTATATACATGCTTCTTCACGTTATCAATTTCTAAATATGGCACATTTTTGCACTTCCTGCATGGACATAATATTTTACTTTTCCTATGCAAATGATTGGTTTGACGTCTAGTATAAGAATCCTCGAAACCCATCCCGAAACTCTTTCTTCACCTCGCCGGTCTCCGGATCTTGGTGATTGTAAATCTACTATCGTAACGCATATATACTATGCTCTGAAAACATTCTTTCAATATCTTTTATCACTTCTCTTTTTCTCTCTTTTTTCAAATCTATCCCTTAGATTTTTTTTACACTACGATCTCTTTCTTTTCTTTTCTTTCTTTCTTTCTTTCTTTCTATCTCTCTTTCTTTCTTTTGTGATTCTTTCACTAACTCACGAAGACTATTTATAGACTTTCAAAAATTTTGCGATGGCCTCGGCGATGGAATATTGCAACCCATTTGCGACAGAATTGTGACAGAAAACCGATTGATTTGCAACCTCGTAACTAAATATTTAGGCCAGTAGGAATTGAGTAAAACGTGGTTCACCTACTTTGCCTATCCACACATATACGTCACAAGTTAGTTGCAAAGTTACGACGGCAAAGCTTCCTCACTACCGCGTTGCAACTTGCAACATATTTTGTGATTACCAGTTTTGTTCGTCGCAATTGCCCCTTTCAGTTGCAGGTTCGTCGCAAAAGTGCGTTGAATTTGCGAAGACGTTCGATGCCGTAATTTGTGATGGAGTTGCGATATATTTTATGTTTTCGGCAAATCTGTTACAAAAGCGTCGCAAAATTGCGACTACACCTTGCCGTCGCAAATTTCCGACACAAATCGACTGTTTTCTTACAGTGATTATGTCACTGTCATATGTTCAAAACCAATATTTCACATAATTTCTCAACTGAAAATATAAAATTGTATTTATGTGGTTGAAGACTGGAAATAATATATTCAAAAGATTATTATTATTACTATTTTCAATACCTAAAAGGCTATGTAAATTTACCATGTTGTATAAAATGTTTGTCATTGACCAACAAATCTGTATGGGCCATAAAACTAAAATTTAGTTTTATGTTTGATTCAAAAAATTCGGATATCCGTAAAGTTTTGAAGCAAAACAAATAACAAAATGTAATATCTGTATAAAATAGAGCAAATCACAAATAAATTTTTAGACAACGTTAGATATCTATTGTGATCCATATCTTTATAAATTTAATATATATTAATATATTTTATCATGTATATATCTATCATTTAATAAAATTTTATTTTATTTTTATTGTTATGTTATCAATTTTCTTTCTAAATTTTCAATTATACAAAATAGATGACTAAATAACAAATAATGATAAATAAATAATATGCCTAAAACTTAAAATATGTTAGTAAATAATATTTCATTTTAAATTAGTTAATAAATATCAACAAAAAAATTAGAAAATTTATTATTATTTTTAAATATAAAATATTAGTTTTGTTTTTCTCTTCTTAGTTTGGTTTACTTCTTATAGATTTTTTTACAGTAAAAAAAATTCTTTTATTTATTTAGATGAAAAAATATAATATATTTTTAACAAAAGTTATTCTATTTTCAGTTTTTGTATGTACTAAACGGATTAAACTAAATATCCACAAATATTCGTAAATTCCCACAAATATTTATAAATTTATTTATATATTTCTGAAACAAATCAAATAATAAAATTAAATATTTACTGAAAACAGAGAAAGTATAAATAAAAAAAAAATTCAGATATCCGATCCGCGCGGTTCTAAACTCTGGAAACTATCAGATCCGCTTTAGGAAAAATTGTCATTTGTCACCACAGAATCTGATGCTTCCGAAAAGAAAAGAATGAAGAAGCTGTTTTATCACCATTGGCATGGGTTTTTCAATCTTTTGATTCGATATTGGTGAGGTAATGAAGTGGTAAAATAAAGAATACTCCATAAATAAGGACCCCACATATTCTCATAAAAAAACATTTCCTTTACAAATAATAAATGTTTAACCAAATAATTGAAAAAAGTAGCTCGCGAGAAAGAGGAGGAACAAAGAAGAAGAAGAAAAACAAGAAAGTGAACGAAGGGAGCAAATTAAGGCATTCGCTACTTCACCAAATCCCTAAACCCCACAAATCTTTCAGAAAGAAAGAAAAAATTTGAAGGAAAAAGAGATGAGAGCTTTACAAGAATCTAGGATCTCTATTGTTTTGTTGCTTCTTTGCTTCTCCATCTTCATCACTTTCAGTCTCCACGTGAGTGTGTTTCTTCTCATCTTTTACCCTTTTCTTGTCGTTTGCTTCCTCAATTTGACTTCTTTGCTTAGATCCCTTCACTTCGAATTTCCCTTCTTCGCATTTTGGGTGTTTCTGATTTTGTGAGAGACAACTGAAAAATTGAATCTTTGTTAGAGTTGAAACTAAGCTGATTTCAAAGTTTTGAGCTTTCTTTCACTTAAGTTGTATTGGGATTTATGTCGAATTTGTAGGCAAATGAGCTATCACCATCTAAAGAAGGAGAGATGAAGATGATGCCATTAATGGAGGAGAAGTTTATGGTGATGAATGAAACAAGAAGGAAGCTTGGGAGTTTCCAGATATGTTCAGTTTGTACTTGTTGTGGAGGTTCTAAAGGTCTTTGCTTGCCTTCACCTTGTTGCTATGCAATAAACTGCAACATCCCAAATAGACCCTTTGGTTATTGCTCCTTCACTCCCAAAACCTGCAATTGCTTTGGCTGCCATATCTGAGATCTTTGATTGTAAGCTTTCTAATATTCTTCCTCTTGGGTTCTTCTCAATTCTTGGGTTTTTCTGATGTTTCCTGATTAATTTCAGGGCAGAGAAAGGAAAATCTCAGGATCTTCATTCAACTGAAAGTGTGAAAGGGAAGGATAAAAAAAATATCTGTTCTTGGTTTGGTTCATATTTTTATTTTTTGTTTATAATCTATTTTTCAGTCTTCATTAAATTTCATTACCTACTATCCTCAACAACATCATCATCCTTATTAATTAGTTATCTTTTTGCATTGCTTTATGATAAATTTTTTTAGTGTTTTTTTTTGAGGATCTTGTTCACACTTCAAGCTAGATTTGTTTTATTTTGTTCTTCTCTCTTCAATTAATATCTCTATCTGTCTCTTTTTTTCCTTCTTCTGTGTACTCCAATTTGTTTCTCATGGGTCAGTATTTTTATCATTAGGATTGTACTTGTAGCATATTTGGGGAAGAGTCGTTTTTTTTGGGTTAAGTTGGAAATTGGAAGTATTTTAATATGATGATGATGATGATGGTGTTGATGGTGATGGTAGTGATCTTGAACGTGTTAAAGTTAAAGCCTTTGTGAATTGTGATGAGTGATATGTTAAGAATTTACAGAAATGGATCAAGTTTAGAAGAATTTTTATCTTTTTGAGTAAGAACCAATTATTCATTTTGAAGTGCAAGGGACTAGTATATATATATATATATATATATATATTTTAATAAAGTTGCATATATATATATATATTTAGAGTGCAAAGAGACATTGTTAATATAAAATAGAAGAATTTTTTCTTTTTGAGTAAGAACCAATTATTCATTTTGAAGTGCAAGGGACTAGTATATATATATATATATATATTTTAATAAAGTTGCATATATATATATATTAAGAGTGCAAAGAGACATTGTTATTGTAAGAGATGTTTGAATCAAATGTTTGTTCCAAGTTCATACTCTCTCTCTCTCCTATCTCTTCATAGCATTTTTTAAAATGGAAGGTCTGAATTTAATTAGGGATTGGTTCTAATTATTATTCTCACATGTTATATTTACAAAGCTGACTTAATTAGTCAATTTATTAATGTTCCAAGTGTTGACCACTTCAGATTCCGCGTGATCAGCTTTTAGTAATTGTATAATTGCGTTCAGTAATTTACCAATCGTAACTTTTGACTTTTCTTAAGGAATGTGTTCGGATTTATGGAAATAGCTTTTTCTAGGGGACTAGATGTATATACTGATCATATATTCAGCGAGGATAAAACTGTTATGAACAATTTAAAAGTATTACTTGTTAAACTAAAACTTACATCCATTAAAGTTATATCCATAGGGATGGGAATAAACTCGATTTTTTTTCAAAGGGAATAAACTCGATATTTAGAGAAAACAAGTTATACAATCTACCATCACTCTTGATATACTTCAGAAAATATTATAATGGTTCTCCGATTGAGACATACACATTACAATCATTTCGGTGTTAATAAGGAGTTGAATGGTATGCAGCTTTTTCATGTTTCACATTTTAAAAACATGATTCCACTAAATACATATCATTCATAATATTAAATATTGAATGATAAAACATGAAAATTATCACACTATTTTTTAATTTATTCCACACGTTTTAAATTTATAACTAATTTTGAAAAAAATCTATTCATCTGATAAATATTAGCTTTTTAGCATTTTGAATTTATTCAGTTTTCAGTTTAACCATCCAATTGATTTCGTTAGTTTATTATTCAGCTATTCTACTATTCAACTATTAAGTTGACATACCAGTCAACCCCTTAGTAAAAACTTTAAGTGTGGTATATTAATTTCTGAGATATCTTACGTCCAACACATTTGTCTAATGAACATCTACAATATTTTTGCATCCAAAAAATGTTCAAACACAAAAACAAACAACACTTATTATTTGGTCAAACTAGCCATCTCTTCTATTAATGCTTTTTTTTTCTTCTTGCATCAAATTTGCACTAAGTGAATATCCGCGCTATATTTTTTTTTTTTTCAAATGTGTACACATAAAGCTAACGATAATCACAAGTTTATAGGAAACACATGGTTAAAATGTGAGAATTGATGTTAAGATGAATAACCAGTGAGATGGTCGGTCATATTGTAGAACGCATGTTCTTAATAATTATTTACTTAATAAGATTTTTTATAATTTGTGCACCGTGTTTTACAACTAGGACAAGTAACAATACATGATTAATTTATTTCCGTGATTTGAAGACATAGTAAAATACTTTGTTTTTGAAATTTAGTGTCCCTGGAATTATGAACATTTATAATAATAAGAGTTCTGATATTTTAATACGCCTAAACTCGAGAACTGCAATGATAAATTAAAGATTATGAAGGAATATAATTTAGTAGCCATTAAATTTTGAAAGGTACAAAACTTAGCAGGATCTAAACTGAATGATTATTTTATCCCATTTTTCATTGCATGTTGCTTTAAAAGTTAACTATTGTCGAGTTCCTGTTAGAGATGAGATTCGTACCATATTTACAAGCCAATATAAAATCTGGTCGACGCAATTTAGAAATTCAAAAAATACTCAGGTCGGTTAAATAAATGGAAAGCTTCTATTTTATCGGGTGTGATCCGGGAAATACGGAAGATTGATCTTATCGGCAAATGTAATTTTCCTATTTCAGGATTACATAGTTATCTCCAAGAAGACCGACCTGGTCGGCTATAAATAAAGGAAGTCCTCGACTTCTCAGATCATTCGAAAATCCTCTCTCGAGACCTAGGGCAAACTAAGCATCCGTATTGTTCTAGCTCTCGATTCACTTTCCTTAAAAGTTTAGGTCGTCGTTCTTATTCTGACGACCTAAGCCACCTTGTATCTCTCAAGCTCTGGTTCAATTTAATAATGATCTCTTTTTAAACCCACAAACCTTTGTTCTCTTCTAAAAGTCGTACTTGAGTTTTTACAGTTGGCGCCGTCTGAGGGGACTAAGAGATTAATCTTTAAAGAACGGAGCTTGAAGATGGTTGAAACACCTATCAACACTGATACTACCGACCTCAGCACATGAGCCACCGATCTCACCGGAGGATCACCGATCGCACAGGAGGAGCTACCAATCCCACCAGAAACACCTAGGGCCCCATCATCGATTCGATCACCGAACTCCCGCTGGACGACAACACCAATATACTGGACTGACGACGTGGCTGCTACGCAAAACACCTGCAAGACAGACCAGGTCGGCCAGACTGGTGGAAGAGACCAGACCGACCTACCGCAGCCGCCTCCCATCGACATGGCTGACCTCATCAGATCGGTCGCGGCGCAGCTACAATAGGGCATGGATGCTTGCTTCGAGTCCCTCCACGCCGAACAGATAGCCTACCGAGAAGATCTAGATCGGCTCTTCAACGCTAGGGGTCATATCCAAGAGCAGGCCGATCTGACCACGCCCCCACGCCAACCGATCCGCAACGCAAATACTACAAGGCTTGTAAATAACTTGTTCAACACCACACCGACAGACGATCTACGTAGAGCACAGGTGGAAAGCTCCAACGCTCGCTCGTCCCAAAACACCACAGGTGCCGATCTGACGACGGCCTCGGAACTCGACCTTCTCCATCAATGCCTTGACGATATAAACAACAAGATCCACAAGGCGACGACCTCGACACCAGAGTTGGATAAAATCCTCCAACAGACGCAGCATACCCTGTTCACATCAGCCATCACTAAGGCTCCTTTGAAGGATATAAGCCGGATGAAGCTACCTCCCAGCTATACTGGCACGACGGACCCGAAGCGACACTTGACCACGTTCAACGCAGTCATGGGACGAGCTTGCTTCACGGACGAAGAGCGGGATGCATGCCTCTGTCAATATTTCGTGGAGACACTTTCCGGAAGCGCCCTCACCTGGCTTTTGCAGCTTCCTCTGAATTCCATCGACAGCTACAAGGAACTTACAGGTCGTTTCCTTAAACACTATTCGATCTACATTGACACGGAGTCTACAGCGCTAGATCTATGGGCGTGTGTCCAGAGCGACACGAAACCGTTGCACGACTTTATCGATCGATTTTGATCCATGTTTCCCGATACAGCTTATCGGACGAGTTATCCCTCAACATCTTCATCAGGAACTTGACAGACAATCAGTCATATTGCAAGAGATTAAAAACAGGGAAGACCAAAACCCTAGAGGACGCGCTGCATAAAGCGACCGGCTATATCAGGCTCGAAGAAGACAAGGCAACCAAAGCCAAGTTGGCCGACGAGAAAATTTTGCGCGATAAAAAACCCAGATCGTCAAACTAGGAGAGCCATCACGAGCCTCGACAGCACTACGACTGGGACGATAAGAGCCGTAAGAGTATCAATGCCGTTGGACGACAGACAAAGTGGAACACTTGGGATCGTCTGAGCACCAAAGATCCTGATAGCAAGAAACCATGGTGCAAATACCACAAAGCACAAGGCCATCACACCGACGATTGCCGTGCTCTCCTGGCCCTCTTGCGGAAGGTATGGGAAGATGGCGAGTGCACCATACCAGAGCCCTGGAGTCTAGCACAGCGATCCGATAATGATCAGGATAGGCGACCTGATAGTGATCGAGACAGAAGACCCGATGCTGATCATCCATCTACCAAACGCAAAGGGAAGGATGTAAAGCGTGACCGCGAAGATGATCACACACCCCCGACTTCGCCTAGACGACGGATCAACATGATTATGGATGGGCTCCTTTCATGCACCGACTCCATTAATTCGATCAAACGGCATAAGCGAAAGACCGCTAATCCCCCGAAGGATGCCCCACCACTGCTTAAAGATGACCTCCTGATCACGTTTACAGAGCAAGACGCACAGAATATAGACCGCCCGCATAACGATCCACTCGTCATCTCACTTCGGCTCGAAGAAGACGACGTCTCGAAGATATTGATCAACACAGGAAGCTCGGTCGACCTCATCTTCATGGACACGCTACACAAGATGAGCATCACCGAATGGGACATCAAAGTCGCACCATCACCCCTCAGTGGGTTTGCTGGAGATTCGATCTCCACGATCAGGACCATAACAATGCCAGTAACCATAGGAGGAAAGTCCATTACGGTGACGTTCGAGGTCATTGACCGACCTGCGATCTATAATGCCATCTTGGGAACACCCTGGCTGAACGGCATGCGAGCCGTCCCATCTCCCTACCACCAGTGCGACCAACCTTCCCCTCAGTGATCTTAGTCCGCTACTACGCATCTGAACTATATAGTGGTTCGGTAGGTTTGGGTATAGCCGAAGAGCAACTTCATTATTCAAGTCAACATTGACCTCGCTCACCCCGAGCGTTGCGTTGGCATCGACACGGAGCTACTGCCAAGTATGCAGGATGAGCTGATCACCTTCCTCCGGGAGAATGTTGGAACATTCGCGTGGTCAATGGCCGATATAAAAGGCATCAGCCCTCAATTCACCGACCATGAGTTACACGTAGATCCCACTTTCAAGCCAATCAAACAGAAGCGATGGAAGTTAGGACCCGAGCGGGCACAAGCCGTACACGACAAGGTCGATAAGCTATTGAAAGCCGGATCAATCGCTGAAGTCAAATATTCGGAATGGCTCGCCAACCCGGTGGTAGTCAAGAAGAAAAACGGAAAATGGCGAGTCTGTGTGG